AAATTTACACTAGTGATGCAATGTCGCCCCCTGCTGTTTCGGAGGGTTCGAGGTCTTTGAAGTCTGGACAGCTTGATGCTGTAGAATAAATTTATTACTAGAATTATATTTTATTTGATACTCCTTGGCATATTTGTTTTTGTTTGTCTGTTTTTCTTTTTCCCTCCAGTAATTGTATGTAGGCTCTTTGTTCTTGTCTATTACGACACAAGGCCTAAGAAGGGCACAATTTATGTACAAAAAGTAAACAAGTACATGAAATTATGTTTTTATTCTTATACAGTGTTTATAAAGTTTTTTTCTTGTTGGCGTTTATATGAATATGCTGGTCTGATAACTTAGTATACATTTGATTGGTTTTTGGTATACGTCTATTTTTAATTTATAACCCTCCTGAAGAAAACTCCACCAGCCGTCACTGGTATATATATTTATTACTATCAGAGGAAATCAAGCAACTCTCACACATTTTGAAGATATTTGACTGTGAGCAACAGACTGATCCCAAGATCAAAAAGGGTTAAAAGTATCTGCACATGCAGAGCAGCATGCAAACTCCATGCAGAAAAGCCCAGGCCAAAATTTAAAATGTAGGACCTATTTGCAGTGTTAACCACTGCACAACAGACCGTAATGTTTCTTGACAAAAAATAAAATGCAAGTAAACTCACTTAAGACCAGCTTCCTCCCATTAAAATCATTATATAAGCTATATATGAGCACCGGAACATCATGGATGAAGATTAATGTTTTTGCAAGTTCAGTGCTTTAATGAAAAAAGCTAGAATATCCATAAAAGATACAACAAAGTCTTAATTTGATAGTTTTTGGTTCATGACTCTGGCATCATAAAAACCAAAAACCCTTAAATATTTCCCCATCAGTCATCTGATGTTGTTAAACCTCTAACTGTCAAAAAAAAACTCATAAAATGAAGTAACTCCATATGTATTGGCAGCATCTCTTTACAAAAACCTGAAACCGGGAGGCAAAACAAAAGATATTTATAGATTTTTAGTGCACATAATACAAAATCATTGATTTTGACCAAGAGCTGAGGTTTCAGACTCTAGATCTTATGTAGGACAGCCTTCCCACATGCACCCATTAACATCTACAATTACAAAGTTACAGCTACATTTCACTTCATTTTGGGATCAAAGAAGCATTTCTAATTGAATTGAGGAGAAGTATGTAGAATATATATAATTCAGGTAATCTCTTCTGCTTACTTTATATCAGAGGTAATATATTTATTTTAGCTGCAACATGGCACTTGTTCATGTCAAAGATGCTTACATTTTAGGTTTCCAGACCACTGAGGTCTCAGAGGGATGAGTTTCACAAGCCCAAAGGCATCAGCCTATATAAACATAGCTTTAAATATACATA